ACAACTGTGAACTAAAAATTGTTAACATGAAATAAAATTAACTTGTCCATAATGGTGGAGGAAATGACAAAAGACTTCCCGTGGCCAAAAGACAAATTAGCTTACATCATCACTTGATTCATGTTTTAAGTAAACAATTTCAAACAATCGTATGAAGACTTATGTCTCAAAAGCATTGAGATTGTTGGAAGAATTTGACCGAAGGCCAAAAGCATCAGAGTTCTGACCATGAATTTGACCGAAGACACAAACACATAAATTGCATCAGACTAGCAGTTCATGCCTATTGATTACGCAAGCACTCATGAACATAAAAAACCGTATGAAGACTCATCCAACATGGGAGCAGAACCCACGGATTCCCTTTTTTTTTTTAATGAATCAGAGGCCGAAAAACCAAAAGCATGCGTGAGTTCTCAATCAGCCGTCGGCAATTGTAAAAGGGATCCAATTATCAATCATCAGCAACCAAGGCTTGCAAATCACTAAATCAGCCGTACAAATTTACTATAAATAACTAAATCCAAATTAGTTCCTAATAATCAACCATATGGGCTCTGATACCACTTGTTAGGGTGATTATCTAAATCTAACCACTGGTGAAAATCATCACCTTTAAACCCAAGATTTGTATGGCGATTATTAAGAAATACATTAACTGTAAAATAGCGGAAGCGTACCTGAATCCATATTGATAAATTCGACACTTGAATCTCTTGGGATTTGGGGTGGCCTTCCAAGTCAACAGGTATTCACCGATCCTTTGAGAGAGGCCTTTAGTTTCTCTCTGGTATCTTTCCTGACGATGGGATATCATGGAAGAGATATTTTGTGGTATTAGGAAATACAACAACTAAAACGATACCTGTGACTTGGGGACCATAACCTTATTTATAGGTAACATTCCTGTTACCTTTTGGAGCCCTATTTCAGCCCATCATTGAAATAGGAGCCCATAAGTTTCTACACATTAAAGGGCCCACATCCTATTAGATACATTAAACTCAAACTATATTGGATCACTTTAATTGGGTTTAACCTTAATTGACAGCTTACAATACATAATTATTCACATATAAGTCCAATGTTGGATTAAGGATCCAACACATTTATCCTCTAAGACCATTTCCCGAAATTGGTTGTGTTACATAGTCTGAAATACGCCCTAGAGGGTGGACTCCTGCTGAGATGAACGTCAACTGATACGCCTACCGGAAACTGGGCACAGTAGACTGTGAACTCGATCCAACTCATCTCAATGCAAGTTGAAGAGGTGATTTTCGACCCGCAGGAGTGAGTCACCTCAACTGGAGGAATATCTTTACCTTGGGCAACTCTCTTGGACGAAGTCACCTGCTTGGATAAGAAAAGGGGCTGGATCCCCCGGTATAACCCCGAAACTTAAGTCAGTTCGGATATAGAGAAGTAAGAAAGTAATGAGTGAAAATAGCGTTCTACCAGAAATTGGTCATTCCCCCTTTCAGTAGAAGTGTCGTGTATTTATAGGGGACCGATAGGAGAGAGGAGATGTTTGCACGGGTTCCTAAAGATCTGAGATAGTCAGTGGATCAGGGGGACTTGACCGGTCTCTATGAAGAGACGTGATGGGACATTCTGTCAGATTCAGGCGGCGAGTCAGAGCAGCCTTTGCTCAGGTGTCAGAGATCACATCTCCCCTTTCCGTAGTTGTCATTCAACGTCCACCTCGGTGTTACGACCTGACATCGTAGCCGAGGTGGTAGACAAGCCGCGATCGCCTTCCGGGATGATGGCCGAAGTGGCACTTCAGGAAATGGTGGGGGACTAGGCCTCGGGCGATCCGAGCCTAAATGGCCCTCCTCACTAAGCCCTCCAAGCTTTGCGAAGGGCGAGATGGGTATTCGCCGAGGTCGTTACTTCCCGAAACTGAGAAGCGTATAAGACACGGAACACGGACACGTCATGACCGCATAGATGGGACTGAGTGAGAACTGAAGGGACGGCTGTCAGCTGTGTTGGCAGACGAACAGTCCTCCCATTAATGAGGAGAGAGGGTGCCGTCTTTTGGGTTTCACCCTGGTGGCCTATAAATAGGAATCTCTTTTCACCGTTTTACTCTTCATAAAAAATCGGGAATCACCCCAGAACTCCGTTTCTTTCTCTTTTCACTTCGGCAACCTTTCTAAACCACATCTACTTCGGCAACTTCTTCAAGTCGCAGATTTTACGTAAGTTCACTTCTTCCCCCTTTGATACAATGGCTAGAACAGCTCGCACGCACAAAGAGACAGTGAGGCCCGACTTTACCGAGGCGGAGAGGCCCGACCCCTCCGAGGAAAGAACGGCGTTTGACGTCGGAAAAAAGGGTGCAGAGGCGTCTCACCGAGCCGAGACGTCTCACCGAGCCATAACTCCAGAAGAGCAGGCCGAGGAGATCGAAGTCGATCCCGAGATCCTGTATAATGATGACCTCGGGAATAAGGTCCCAAGGGACGAGGGTGTTCATGAACCGTCCACTCCTCCGAACGCGGCGACGCTCAACTATGGTCAGATGCCGACCTTCAGGAGTGCTGTGGGACAAGTCGCCGTCGCCGAGGTGATCCGCAGATACCCCTGGAGGAAGGACTACAGCATCTATGTACCACAGCCGCATCAGTCCGCCGCCCTGCCACCAAAGGATAGGGTGGCCATCTATGTGGGCCAACTGGAGGCCGGGCTCAGAGTGCCCATGACGAGGTTTCTTCGAGATTGTCTGAGGTATTGGGGGGTGAGAATCACTCAGCTCACCCCTAATGCCATTCGGGTCCTCGTCGGCTTCCAGCTACTCTGCCGACATCAGGAGATAGAACGCACAGTCAACCTCTTTCGCCGCTGTTACTCACTCAAAAACAGCGGAAGTAAAAAGGGGTGGTTCTACTTCAGGAATAAAGTTCCGAAACTGGTGGTCGATGCTCCGAGCTCAATAAAGGAGTGGAAGAGGAATTTCATCTTCGTCCCGCCTGAGGACTTCCCCCGGGAGTTCTGGTGGAGGCCACCCACCTCAGTGAAGGAGGTATCCTCGGGCAAGCAGGAAGAACGCAACTTCCAGAAGCTAACGGGGTCGGGCCTCAGGATCAACTGTTGGGATTTTCTCGAAGTGATTCTAGTAGAAGGCGGGGTTAGCCGAGCCTTGATCAGCTCGGATCATCCCGTCCTCCTCTCTTCTAGACTTCACATACCTTGTACTTTTCCATTTCTCTCTTTTAGTTTATCCTTCTTGACTTCTAACTAACTCTTCTTCATGCTATGCAGTGACGAAAATTTCTGACCTGATCACCTCGGAGAACGTCGAGGTGGTGAAGAGGCCACCCAAGAAGCGCAAAGACGCCACTGGGCCTTCCACCAGGCCTGCTAAGAAATCCACCGCGGCAACGAGCGACCGCGAGCCTATCGTGGTGATCGTGGGCGAGGGCTCACACACCTCGGCCACTCCCGGAGGCTCCCGCGCTTCGGCCATTCCTGTGGGGGTTCCTATCCGAGAGGTCACGATAGCCACCCCACCCCGGGGTCAAGGCGTGACGGCGTTCCCGGATAACCCCGTCACGGGGTCCTCTTTGTTCAAGCTCCACCATGTACCTTCCAAAGCAGTCGAGGAGGACAAAAGGCACCCCGGATCGCAATGGTGCCCGGAGTGGGAGATTAATGTCAACGATCGGTGCAAGAACCCCCTGGTTGCTCAGGAGCTCTTGGTGCACTCGGTGTTGCCTCGAGACAGCACTTATGCCAGGAAGCTCACTCTGGGTGAGCTGATGCAAAGTGGTTCGTCTCTTGGGCCTCCACCATGGCTTTCTTTGCTGAAATGATCCAACGCTACGGGCGTTTTATGAAAACTTTCGAGCCACCCGCCAAGCTCCAGAAGAAGATTGCCGACCTGGAAGAAAAGCTAAGGGCAACCGAGCTGGAGCGCGACAAGGCCGAGGCGGCGAGGAAGAAAGCCGAAGTCGCGAACAACTCCTTGGTCACCGCCCTTGACGAGAAAAGAGGAAGAATGGCCCAAGAGGAGCAATCGACCAAGGAGGCCATAAACCAGGCCGGAGTGACTGCCGTGGAGTCCTTCCGCAGCTCGGAATCCTTTACGCACGATCTCGCGGAGCTTACGCGGCCGAGTTTCATGTTGGGCTATATTTCGGCCGTCAATGATGCAATGCCCTTCCTTTCCTCTGAACAACTGGAGTCCCTTCAAAGCGCTCCGCACTATAATGAGGATGCCAAGGGGCTGTGCGACCGCATGGCTGAGGACATCCAGACTGGAAGAGACCTAGCCGAGGTCCGGGCCGAATTCAACAAATGGCTCCAGGAATTCGAGCTAGAGGGTGATAATACTGAAGGCGGCCAGGTCGGCGGAGGAGCTGAGGGAGGACAGGATGCCGAGACGGGGGACCAGACCATGGGGGGTCAGAATGCCGGAGTAGGGAGTGCTTAGGAGCACCCCTCTTTTTTGTAATTGGGGGGCCGAGTCCATGACCTCGGCTCTCATTTTTTGTACTCCAATTTTTCTTCATACTTCAATACAATTATGTTTTTCTTCTTTTTTAATGAGCTCAACTCGGCTTTCTTATCTTTGACCACTGTTTTGTCCCCTTATTTTTTACTTGTGATTAAAGGAGAATGCTGCCAAGTGCGGGGCACCCGAGAACCATCTCGATAAGTTAGTTTACAATATCCATTTTGGCTAGACTCAATAACACGGTACGGTCCCTCCCACTTGGGGGTTAGTTTACCCAGAGGTTCAACTCGGCTAACCGAGTTTTTTCGGGGCACAAGGTCTCCCGGACTGAACCGCAAGTGTTTGACCTGGGCATCGTAGTAGTCAGTTAAGATATTTTTGTACAACGCGACCTTGGCTGCGGCCATATCGCGCTTCTCCTCGGCGAGGTCGAGGTCAACCCGCCTTTCTTCTTCATTTATTTCAGCGGCATACGCGGCCATACGTGGACTTGGGGTGATGAACTCGGCGGGGACAACCGCTTCGGACCCATAAGTTAAGGAAAACGGGGTCTCTTGGGTTGCTGACCTCGGGACCACAACACACTGGGAAGTTCTTCTATCCATGACGATCCAGCCCGGTGGAGTCTGGTTTTGAGACCATGGAGGAGAGTACGGTTGAAATTTTCGGCCTGCCTGTTGGCTTGAGGGTGTCCATCCGAGGTGAAGTGCTGCTTGATCCCCAGGTTTTCGCACCATGCCTTGAAAGGATTATCCGCGAACTGCTTGCCATTATCCGAGATGACCACCCGGGGCAGACCGAAGCGACAAACCACGTTCTTCCAAAAGAATTTTTGAACAGCGGCCCCAGTGATGCTTCTCAGAGGCTCGGCCTCAACCCATTTGGTGAAGTAGTCTACTGCTACCACCACATAGGCATAATTTCCTGGAGCTCTTGGAAATGGGCTGATTATGTCAGTTTCCAACTGGTCGAATGGCCATGGCGAAGTGATGGGGATCATAAGATTAGTCGGTTGGTGGTGCTCAGGAGCATGGTGCTGACAAGAAGGGCAACAGAGTACCATGACCTGGGCATCTACCCTCATGGTGGGCCAGAAGTATCCGAGCAGCAAGGCTTTCTTCACGAGCATCCTGAAGCCGACGTGGGCACCACAAAATCCCTCATGAATGTCTTGAAGGACTCCCTTGCCTTCTTCCGGGGTGATACACCGCAGCCAGGGGTCGAGGTAAGACCTCTTGTATAGAAGGCCTTGTCGGAGGGTGTACCGAGCTGCTTTTCGTTGAAGCTTCCGTGCTTCAGCTCGGTCTTCTGGAAGCTCACCCTGACTGAGAAATCGAGTCAAAGGTCCCATCCAAGTGTCCCCGGGGTAAATAGGGTATACAACATCTCCTTCGTACCCCGGCTCGGCTAGAACTTCCACGAGAACCGTCTTGTTCAGGTCGGCAAAAGAAATAAAAGCGAGCCGGGAGAGGGCATCAGCCCTCCGATTCTGTGACCGTGGTATCCTTTGGATTTCGAAAGACTCAAAGTGTGCCACCAGCTGGAGGACCTTAGAGAGGTAGCGATGCATCACCTCTTCCCTGGTCTCGTATTCACCTAGTATTTGGCACACGACGAGTTGAGAGTCACTATAGACCAAGATGTGTGCGGCCCCGAGCTTTCGAGCTAGTTGTAAGCCGGCAATGACAGCCTCGTATTCGGCTTCGTTGTTGGAGGCAGCGAAGTCAAACCTCAGGGCGTACGAGCACACATCTCCTTGGGGGTCTTCGATGAGCAAGCCTGTTCCACTACCCTCACTGTTGGACGATCCATTCACGTGTAGAATCCATCGCTGGAGCCCAGCGATGGCCACTTCAGCTGTGACCGGGGTGGTAACTGGGATGGGTTCTTTCACCTCGTCAAAGGTGAGTTTGGCTAAAAAGTCCGCGAGAGCTTGGGCCTTGATTGCTGTGCGAGATTCATAAGAGAGGTCATACTCCCCCAGCTCAATGGCCCATTTGGTAAGACGTCCCGAAGCCTCAGGTCGTGTCAAGATCTGCCGGAGTGGTTGATCAGTCCTCTAACAGATGTGGTGAGCTAGGAAATAGGGCTTGAGTCTGCGGGCTGCATGGTTCAGGGCCAGCATAAGTTTCTCCGCTTGTGTGTACCTTGTCTCGGGACCTCGGAGAACTCGACTAACGTAGTAGACGGGCATTTGGACTCCTTCCACCCTTATCAGCACAGCACTCACGGCTTCGACCGCAGCAGAAAGGTATAAGATCATCTTGTCCCCTGGACGAGGTGAGGTGAGCGTGGGAAGGTAGTGAAGGTAATCCTTCAGCTGCTCAAACGCCTGTTGACACTCTTCAGTCCAGGAGAAGTGGTCAGCTTTCTTCAATACTTTGAAAAATGGCAGGGCTTTGGAGGCTGACTGCGATAGGAACCGGTTCAGAGCGGCCAACCGCCCCGTCAACCTCTGGACATCGCGGACGCACCGAGGTGGAGACATCTCCTGGATGGCTCGCACCTTATCCGGATTCGCTTCTATACCTCGCCTTGAGACGAGGTAGCCTAAAAATTTTCCCGAGGTGACCCCAAAGACGCATTTCTTGGGGTTCAGCATCATTCGCGTCTTCCGGAGAATATCAAGGACCTCTTTCAGGTCGGCCAGAAAAGCGGAGATCGTCTGGCTTTTGAGGAGGATGTCATCTACATAGGCCTCAACATTCCGGCCGATCTGAGACTTGAATGCTTGGTTGACCAAGCGTTGGTAAGTGGCTCCGGCATTCTTCAGCCCGAATGGCATGGTAGAGTAACAGTACGTGCCGCGGTCAGTGTAGAAGGCCGTCTTCTCCTGGTCTTCCTGACTCATACCAATTTGGTGATAACGTTTGAATGCATCCAGGAAACAGAGGATCTCGTATCCCATTGCCGAGTCTACCAAGGTATCAACTTTGGCCAATGGGTAACAGTCCTTGGGGCAGGCTTTGTTGAGGTCGGTGAAGTCGACGCACATTCTCCAAGTCCCCGTATCCTTCTTGACCATGACCGGGTTGGACACCCAAGTTGGGTATTGAACTTCCCGGATTATTTTAGCGGGTAAGAGCTTGTCCACTTCCTCACCGACAGCTCGGCTGCGCTCAGGGCCGAGGTGCTTTCTCTTCTGTTTGACCGGACGGACTTGGGGGTCGACGTTCAGCTCATGCATCATGAGGTGGTGCGGGACTCCTTGGACCTCTTCGGCGGCCCAAGCAAAGACGTCCCGGTAATCTCTGAGGAGGTCCACCATACCTCTTCGGACAGGACCGGGCAATCGGGTACCAACGCGAACTGTCTGATCAGGTTTCATGGGGTCCAGGGGAAGCTCTTCCACCTCATCCCCAGTCTCCAACCTCGAGACCTTCTCAGCTCGCTGAGGATCGATGCTATCTATTGAGAGGATATTTGACCTCTTCTCGGGCCTCGTTCCGGAGATTGATGGGGAGGCCGGTTATAGAGTGGCGAGGTAACACTCCCGGGCAGCGCAGACGTCGCTACTGACCTCGGCCACTCCTGCGGGGGTAGGAAAATTAAAGTTTAAGTGGTAGGTGGAGTACACCACCCGCAGAGCATTGAGTGTAGGCCGTCCCAGAAGTAGGTTGTATGGTGAGTCAGCCTTAACTACCACGAAGTTGACGGGAATGGTTCTGCAGCGGGGGTGACGCCCTACGGTCACTGTCAAAGCCACCATCCCTTCGGGATGCACGACATGTCCCCCGAACCCTACAAGAGGGGTTCTCACCGGGGTCATACACTCCCTGGCCAGTTGAAAGCTCTCAAAAATGCGGAGGTACATGATGTCAACTGAACTTCCCGGGTCTATGTAGACCTTTTTCACAATGTAGTTATTGGTGAGGACCTCAATCACCAAACCTTCATGACTGCTGGAGGCAGTTGGGACAGGATCACTGGGCCCGTAGGTGATCACCTCGGATAGGCGAGAACTCGACTCGGCCTGATCCGGATTGGCTTGTCTATAGGTTCTCTTCCGGGAGTTCTGACTATCCCCTCCCGTCGGACCTCCGGCAATGGTGTTAATGACTCCGGCAATATTTGGCCCATATCCCAACTCATGTCCTGAATATCCGTCTGGGGGGCCTTTTCGTCTCCCTGGGATCCTCAGGAGGTCGGCAGCTGCTTCTGGAGGTCTGCCGCTCATCTCGGCATCGATCACCTCGTTTGTCTCGCCGGTTTTCATCTCGTTGGTGGCCTCCAGCTCGGCGGATGAACTGTTTTAAGTGCCCCTGTCTAATGAGGTTCTCGATCTCCCTCTTGAGATCGTTGCAGTCCTCAGTCTCGTGACCGATGTCACGGTGATATAAGCAGTAGAGGTTCGAGTTCCTCTTGTCTTTGCTTCCATACATCCTCGGTGGGGCTTTTTCGAGGTTGTTTTGTTCCATCACGGACAACACCTGAGACCGGGAAGTGTTCAAAGGAGTCAACTCGGAGTCGGGAATGGGTGACCTCCCCTTGGATATCCTGTCGAACACGCTTCGGCGGTCCCGGCCAGGACTTCGGAAGCCACTTCCTGTTCCCACTTCAGTTCGGCTGGCGTCTTTTCCCTTTCGGGGATCAGCCCTTGGACGGGTGGCTTGGACCTCTTTCTTCATGCGGTGGAGGTTTTCGGCCTGTATGCCCTTTTCGACCTTCAACCACAATTCATGCAGTGTGCGGGAGTATTTCTTATGGATCCCCGTATTGAACTCCCCGGCAACGAGTCCATGGGTAAAGGCAGCGAGAGTTACCTGCTCATTGGGGTCAGGTATCTGAACGCTTTCCTCATGGAACCTCCGGACGTACGATCGAAGTGACTCTCCCGGATTCTGCTGCACAGTGAGCAGGTAAGCCGAGGTCTTGGTCGTAGGTCGGGAGGAGACAAACCGGTGGAGAAACTTCTCCACTAATTCACCCAGGGTCGAGATGCTCTTAGGTTCTAGAGCCCAGAACCATTTTCGAGCAGTTCCTCGGAGGAATACTGGAAAGACTCGGCATATGACAGGGTCTGGGATGCAGTATAGGCGGAAGGCCGAGATGAAGGCATGGATGTGGTTTTCGGGATCACCTCCGCCATCATAAGATTGTACTGCGGGGAGCTTAAAATTGGGAGGAAGCCTTTCCTCGTTTATATCATCTGTAAACGGTGGAGCCCTCATGCAGTCCACCCCGGGTATTCCCAAGGGTCGAGGTTCTTCCTCGAGTCGTCGCCCCAAGAGCCCTCGAGAAAACGCCTTGGTCAGGGAGGCTACCTTAGAGGTGGCCTTAGAAAATGCTCGCTTTGAGGCACTTCGGCTTAAGCGCCTCCCATCTGACTCTTCTTCAGATGAATCCTCAGGAGACCCATCTGACTTCCTTTTAGAGGACTCGGCCTTTTGTTTGCCTTGCCTCTTAAGGTATCTCCCAACTCTTCAAAGATGTTGGGGTTCTCAGTTACAAACTCGGCCATACGAGTTATGGCTTCTTCGTTTGCGGGCTGAGTCTTCGGGGACTCCTGCCCTTCAGAAATATTTTCTGGTTGAGCTGCATTGCTTTGCTCAGCCTCTATAGTGAGAGCTTTTCTGCTCCTAGAACGCGCAGGCTTCATTTTCTAATGTCTTTGCGTTCCCACAGACGGCGCCAATTGAAGAGGTGATTTTCGACCCGCAGGAGTGAGTCACCTCAACTGGAGGAATATCTTTACCTTGGGCAACTCTCTTGGACGAAGTCACCTGCTTGGATAAGAAAAGGGGCTGGATCCCCGGGTATAACTCCGAAGCTTAAGTCAGTTCGGATATAGAGAAGTAAGAAAGTAATGAGTGGAGATAGCGTTCTACCAGAAATTGGTCATCCCCCCCTTTCAGTAGAAGTGTCGTGTATTTATAGGGGACCGATAGGAGAGAGGAGATGTTTGCACGGGTCCCTAAAGATCTGAGATAGTCAGTGGATCAGGGGGACTTGACCGGTCTCTATAAAGAGACGTGATGGGACATTCTGTCAGATTCAGGCGGCGAGTCAGAGCAGCCTTTGCTCAGGTGTCAGAGATCACATCTCCCCTTTCCGTAGTTGTCATTCAATGTCCACCTCGGTGTTACGACCTGACATCGTAGCCGAGGTGGTAGACAAGCCGCGATCGCCTTCAGGGATGATGGCCGAGGTGGCACTTCAAGAAATGGTGGGGGACTAGGCCTCGGACGATCCGAGCCTAAATGGCCCTCCTCACAAGTTGCTTTTGTCAATTCCATCTCTGAGAAGCTTTCTTGCATCAAGGAAAGGAGCTGATCGACTCCACCACGGAATAAAAAAGTAAAAGAAACTAGAATGATTTTCTTCCCGTTTTCGGCAGAAGTGAAACTTGTTACGAAGGGTCTAATTACTAAATTCTCATCAATCTTGTCCGCAGTGAGCTGCCACTTACATATTAGCCAGCCTAATGATAAGTGGGCATATGAGAAATGAGGAAAGAGAAAGCAATGAACCATATGAAGTCGCCATCTCTTTTGCCTGAGCTTTCTTTGCTTTGGTCGAATTGAAACCGATTTAAATGCTATTTATAGATTCTCTATGCGAGCTTTCCATAGATCGGCATATTGTGAAGATTATACTGGATATTTTTGGTCGAACAGTCTCAAGTGGAAATTCCAGCTTCTACCCTGACGTGAACATATCTACCATATGAGAAGGACGGGCCGTACATTGACATCAAGATTCGTCTCTCTGGTGCTCAAATTGCACTAGTTTAATGAGGACCCAAGTTTTAATCTTTTGAAAAAAGAATGTAGTTAAATTGTGAAAGTACTTATATGTAAGAGAACAACAAATTTGAGTGTGCATTTCCCAATGGATTACTTGTATAGTAACATATAGCCTTTGAACAGACACTAATGAAAGGATTTATTCTACTGTTTTGTACTGCTTAACTCGACAACATTTTTATTTTGCACCCTAAATTCTGAACTTATACAATATTTTTATTTGTACCTCAAATTTTAGTTTTGAATATTTTATACTCTAATCTCTTACGTGGGTTCCATTTAAGTCAAATTGATAACACCGTTAGTAAAATTAATTAAGGGAATAAATAATCCTGCACACTATGCATTCCTCAAACACTCTACTAGGTGATTGTGTATTGCCATCATCTCACAATCCTTTTCAATCATGCCAAAAAAAAAAGAAAAAAAACACGTTGTGTGTGCGATCCTCTATTCTGCAATTTTGTTAATGTAATTATTGATCGCAATTAAGTAGAACGAACTTGAAAAATTATGACACAAAGCATTCAAAATTGATGAGGGTGCACAATGGAATTAGTTCTTTAAAAAATAATAATTAATTGGTGACACAAGTGCCTCTTACGTGGTGTACTTGACCAAAAATAACACCCTCTAGAAGTATACGGTATCATAGTGAGTTCTACTAACTTGCCAATGCACCCTTCGAATATGATTGAAAATTCATGCTACATCGGTGCTGATTGTTGAATATTTGCTTTCCTATAATATGGCTAGTAGAAGGCACCATTAGGATTTGATTGGAGAAGGAAAGAATTGAAAGATAATGACAGAGTAGAAAATTCATTATCTGCTTTAAACGGCTATGGAATGACAAGAAAGGAGAAACTATATATAATTATAACGGGTGGTCATTGGACATTCGTTAAAATATATTTCAGGTATTATATTTTTTAAACGGTCTGTCTAACGAATACTCTATGTTCATTCGCTACAATTGTATATAGTTTCTCTTTTATTGTCATTCTCTAGCAGATAATGAATCTTCTACATTAGTTTTGACCATTAAGTGGGATAAAATTCATATTTTAAGGCATAAAGTATCTAAATTTGAGGATAAACTGTTCAAATCTGAAATTCAACAACTAAAGTGGGGATATGTCTATAGTTTAATGGTCCAAAGTCAATTTAGCCCAAAATATATGAAGGATCAAGTAAATTTAAACTGTATTTAAAAATGTCTTTAGAGTCGAACAAATGATATAACTTCTGAATAGTTAAAATGACTTGCTGTATCCAAAACCAAAATTAAAAACAATAACTGCCAGCATGTTGCATTATAACCAAAAAAAAAAAAAGAATTAATGATACACATCTTAAAAAAAAAAAAAAAGATCTTTGAGCATAACGAAATTTTGTTTTTTGTAGAACAATAAGTACTTATGATTATAAATAAAATTAGTTTATTGTACGGTATTAATTTTTCCCTTTTTTATAAATAGCACTTTAATAGCAAGAGAAATAGATTTACAATGAAAACAAGAGATAAAAATCGAAAGATGAAAGAAACTTAGCTAAATGATCTTATTTGAAAAAAAAAATGAGCGTGAGATTCAAAAAGCAATGAGACAAAAGAGGAATTTGAATCTAAAACTTCTAGTAGGTTTCAATATTAACTATTAGGCCAAATTAATCTTTCGCACTGAGCTAAATGATATCAAAAATTTGATTGTGATTTTGGTTGCCTTGTGGTATATTTTTGAAGTGTTTTTGGAGTGCTTTTACTGTGGTTTCAATGGGTTTTTTTTTGGGTGTTTATATATAGATGCATTTTTTTTGAAAGATTATATATGCGTAGTTATATACACATTTTGGGGGAAAAAGAACATCAATCCACGTACCCTATATAGTGTATCTTATTTATTTGCATAAGAACATACTTTCACAGGTGTCATTTCAGCACAAGGCATATATATAAACACCACAATCGCATAGAATCAGGCCACTAGTAAAGACTTAGAGAAAATAAAAAATGAGGACTAAATGAAAATGTAGGTCAAAGTCGATTTTTTTATGTCAAAGTCAATGATCAATACCTAATTATGCAGACCTGTACATCAAATCATTTCTTATGATTCAAGGTATCTAATAGCTGTAGACACCAAATTTTATCATTTTATTCATATTTTTATTTATTTTATTTTTAATTTATTTTGTTTCATTTTTTATATTTCTTGAGGAAAATCATTTTAGAAAATCAAAAAAAAAAGAAGAGAAATGGAAAGAAGAGAAAAAGCAGAAAAGAAAAGAAACAAAGAACCAAAATCACTTTTGTGTAAAAAAAAAAAAAAAAAAGAGGGTGAGGCCACGCGCGCGTGCAATCGCGCCATCCTTCTCCATGGCTTCTGGTACGAAGCCATGGACAGTACAGAAGCGGAAATTGCTGCTGGCCACTTCTTCCATTTTCAGTCATTTTTGTTGCATTTTTTTTCTGCCCCAAGCATTTCAGTACAATGATAGCTCATCTCAGTGGGAATCATCAGGAAGCATCTAGAAAAATAGATCAAACGGCTCCAAAAATGAACCTCAAAAACCCAACTTAATCTCAGCCTTCATTCTAATTTGATCCATTTGACTCCATATAAAAGCAAGAGAATGGCTGGAAAAGAAAAAGGACAAGAGGAAAAACAAAGGGGGCGGCGGAGCAAGAAAGAAAAGGAGAGAAAACAAGAAGAAAAGAGAGAGAAAGGGGATCAGAAAATTTAAAAAAATAAAAAAATAAAAAAACAACTAGGTGACCAGGCTGACGGATCAGCCTGGTTTCTCGTCAAATTCCGGCTTCAATGTCTATCTTTTGAGGATTCTCTTGCTTTCTACACCTTCTCCAGTCATAGTAGAGGAACTTTAGTGTTGAGTGGTTTCCATAAAAATGGCAACAGGACCTTCAAATCCAAGCTTGAACTTGCTGCCATCGCAGCTCTTGAACGTTCGTCGACGAAAGTTATCTTCCATTGTTTCAGCATCCGGATCCCTTTTCCTTGAAATTTATTGCACTCTTTCGACTTCCATAAGCCTCAGAGGTAACCTTCACTCATTTTTCTCTCTTTTCTCCAACTCGTTTGCAAGTAAAATTTCAGAAATCCTGCTCTCTTTGGTTCATGATGCATGATCTTGTGCTTGTGCTTGGAACTAGGAGTCTTGTGTTTAGTTGTTGCGATTTTGGGTTGAGCGAATTGCGCGAAATGTCACTAAACTATTTCAAAGTGCCGGTTCTGGTCACTAAATTTTTTTATTAGCGCGAAATGTCACTGAACTAGTAAATCTATACCGTTTTGGTCACTCCGTGTATTTGTGCCGTTGGGAGAGACGGAAATTAACTTTTTGAGGGGCAATTTCGTCTACACAATAGTTAAAAAATTTATGAGAAAAAGGTTTTGAATGATTTGAGATCGAAGCTGGAAGAAACCATTTTGGGGAACAAGCTCTATAAGAAAGAAGTGGCTAAAGAGGCTCCAAAGGAGTCACCAGAAAAGGAAGGTGAAATGAAGAATACAAGAAGTAGATGGCCTTTATGTTTTCTGCACAGCGTTCAAATGCCTCAAGTTTTGGTGCATAGGCAGTAGCAGACAAATCCTAGACCATGAGTCGTCTTGCTTTATGTGAAAATTGCCCCTTCAAATCTCTATTCAGTTTCTCAGCCAGATAGCATAGGCAGTAACCATGATAGTAGGCTTCACCAAATATATCGCGTAATGACTCTCTTATTCCTTTCTGGGAATCAGCAATAAATGTGATTTGCCTGGATGTTGAGACAGCAGACTTGAGTTCTGACAGAAACCAATGCCAATTTTCGTCAGTCTCTTCATCAACAACAGCAAAGGCTACTAGAAAGACACTATTATTCTCATCTGCAAATGTTGCAGCCAACAATGTGCCTTGATACTTTGAGTACAGAAGAGTGCTGTCAAGAAAAATAAGAGGCCGACAACCTTGCTGAAAACCAGATATTGATGCATGAAACGAGACAAAGAGCTTGTGGAAGCTGGAGTCCTCCTTTGTCGCGAATGTAGCAATACTACCTGGATTTGTTTCCATTGTCTTTTGACAGAGGAAGGGTAGTTGGCAGTAGGCCTCTTTATAAGATCCCTGAAGCTGCTCACGGGCAATCTCCTTGGCACGCCATGCCTGCAAATCTAAATTGTGGCCGAGAGCGCATGGTTTCAGGATTAAGTATCAGCCACGAGGGCAATTGAATCAGGACAAGCCCTTGGGTAAATTTCGTGACACGTGGACGGTCCAAAGCTGAGAGTATACACTTGGATTCCGATAATCCAAAGCTGAGAGTATACGTGGATGAAACTTCTCTGAGATGGGAGATTTTCTCATTACCTAATCTTTGAAATCTTGAGGAAAAAAACCAATTCTTGAACCCTCATTCTTCAAAATCAGTAAGATGTTTGCACCAGCTTCCTTGAAGAGAGACCTTGCACCCCCATTCTTCAAGATCTGAGCAAATGCATCTAGGGAGCTTTTGTACTTCCGCATAGAAGCAGATTCCAAAGTTAAACTTCAAATCCACCATGTTAAACCCTTAAACAAGAAAAAGGGTTTTCTTCTTTTCTGCATAATGGGATAAAAATTATTTCCCAAGAAGCAATTAGGTTGAATAAGTTCTGGTGTATGACAAAAGGGAAAATAAAGACAAGAGGAAGGCAATCCCCTTCCCAAATGTTAAAAAGGGGAAAAAAAGGAAAAGGCATC